TTGCACGGAACCATGCCAGGGCTCGAACCCCACCTCCCCCGGCAAAGCTCCCAGGTCTGCTTCTCTCTCCGAGTCTGGCTGAGACCTTTCCTGCCCCCCGAGAGCATCGGAGCTAATGGGCTCGGATTCCATCCGTCCGCCTCCTCTTCACCAGGCTGCCTGCTCCGGCTGAACAGGTAGGTGGGCTGCACAGGGTGCTCAGCTGTGAGGCGGAGCCCCCACCCGCACCCCTTTACCCCAGGGGCAGGTGTACCCAGAGGAGTACACAGGCCAGAGGGGGGCACAAGTGCGTACATGGGACCAGCTGTAAGACATTAGGGAGCGGTGGGGACTGTGGTGAAATGGAGACCTCGTTCCCCCTTTAAAGGGGCCGCCGGCTGCTCAGCTGTGCCCACTTTCACCACCAGGAAATGTGTCTACATGGGGCCTGGTTCCCCAGTTTTTCAAGGGAAGTTGGCCAACCACATGTGGAAATCTCCGGATGTTAACTGGAGGCGTCTCGTTCCAACTTTCAAAAATACAAGTTGGCCAAACCAAGCAAGTCCTTGGGCCCCTGGATGGTGACCTCTGGTTTCGACCCACAATTTAGCTCCGAATCTTCCTCGCGATGGTTTTTCTCTTGGGTACGAGGCGGTGGTGTGGGGGTGGGGGAGGTAGAAGTCCTCATTCTCTGCCCTGAGCAAGAGGAGCGGCTGGTTTTAGAGAGAAAAACGCGCCTTTTAAAGCTTCCTGAGGCATAGGCTGCAGTGGCTTTCAGAACATTCCCGATGGCTGAAACCACCATTGCATCTAGTTCCGGAACATTCTCATCGCCCCGGAAGGAAGTCACAGTCTACCCATCACAGTCGCTCCCAGTCCTCCTCCCCTGGCCCCGGCAACCACTCGTCTGCTTCCTGTCCCCACGGATTTGCGTGTTCCGGACGTTTCGTGTCCGTAGAATCCTACATGCCCTCTGTGCCTGGCTGCTTTCCCTAAGCGTCATGCTTTCAGGGTTCACTCGGATTGGAGCCGCCAGGACTTGATTCTTTTAAAAAAAACCAAAAAAACCTCACAAAATAGTTCTTATTGATTTAGGAGAAAGGGAGAGGGAGAGGGAGGGAGAAACTTTGATGAGAGCGAATGATCGGCTGCCTCCTGCATGCCCCCTACTGGGGCTGGAACCCCAAGCCCAGGCGTGTGCACTGACCAGGAATCCAACCTGCGACTTTCCTGTGTTGGGGGCGACGCTCAGCCATCTGAGCCACACTGGCCAGGGCTATTTGTTTTTTGGGTTTTGTTTCTTAAACTGTGGGCCCTGCCAGGTGTCTCGGTTGGTTAGAGCATCCTGCCAATACACTAAGGTTTCGAGCTCAACCCCCCAAGAGAGCACGTGCAAGAATCAACCAATGAATTCATCAATAAGAGGGACAACAAATCCATCCATCTCTCTCTCTCTCCCTTCCTCTCTTTCTTCTTCTCTCTCTCTAGAATCCATTTTTTAAAAATTGAAAAGCACATTTATTCTCTCTTTTTGTCTGATTGCCCAGCCCGCAGAGATGAGCACTGAGATGGGCAGGTGCTGCTGCTGATTATTCTGGTAAAAAAAAAAAAACATTTCAATGCCCCAAGGGCCAGTGAGCACGCAGCACTCTATATATTAACTCTTTTAATCCTCACAAACGCGAGAGGCAGCTACTACGATGAACCCTATTTTTCTAAAAGACGAGCTTGAGTAGCCGGCGAAGAGCCAGACAGCTCAGTGCAGCGCTGGGACCTGAACCCCGGCAGCGTGACCACCTGAGCCCCACGCTAGAGCCCTCACCAGTGCCTCGGGCTGACCAGCAGGCTGCCTTGCGCATCCGACTCCCCACCCACATGCTTTTCCTCCTTCGTGGGTGTTTCTTTTTCTCTCCTTTGCAATGAGTTGCTCAGGGTTCCTTGTTCCAGCCCAAGGAGCCGGGATTGCCGAGTCACTGGGGCAGGATCGAGAAGCTGAGTCACTGGGGCAGCTGGAGGAACAGCCTCAGCACGGCTGCCTCCCTGCTCCGGCTCTGAGTCACCCCGGGGCGGGCGGGCCCACGGCACCTAACATGCCGCATCCTTGCAGCTCCTCGCCCGAGATCAGCCGTTCAGCACCGATTCCATCGAGCGCCCACCCTACCGAGTGCCAGGCACTGTGCTAGGCTGTGGTCGCCATGGGAACTAAGAGGTCCGGGTCACTGCTGTTCTAACGGATTGTGAACCCCAAATGGTG